CCCTCTCCTGAGGGCTCTGGGAGGGATTCTGGAGGAAGTAGAAGGCATCCCTGTCTCAAGCACACTGAGCACGTGGCCCGGGTGTGCGCCCTCCACTGTGCTGTGGGGCTTCTGTGCCCTCCCTCGCTTCCTTTTTCTTTTACCAAAGTATATTCATCAAACTGCTGAGTTGGAAAGATCTGTAATGAGTTTCTGAGCTGTACGACTGTTGTCTCCCCCCGCCCCCCCGCCCGCTCCCTCTTTCTAAATCTTCATCTGACATTAAATAAAGCAAATCCCAAACAGATTAACTGTCGCCCGGTTCTGCTCTGTCTCCTCAGTCTGTTCCAGGTCTGGCGGGGGGCCGGGTGGCGCCGGGCGATGCCTGGGGGGCCCGCGGAGGTCCATGTGGCGCTCTAGGTGGGATGGCGGTGTCCTGAAGGCTGACGCGCTGGCCCTCCTGCCCGGCGGCCTGGGCATGGCCTTCTCGCAGTCGCACGTGATGGCCGGCCGGCGCCACCAGCACAGCAGACTCATCATCGAGGTGGACGAGTACAGCTCCAACCCCACGCAGGCCTTCACCTTCTACAACATCAACCAGGGACGCTTCCAGCCGCCCCACGTGCAGATGTAAGTGGGGGCCGGACGTTCGCGGTGGCAGGTTGGGATCCAGGGGGGCCTCCTGGCGGGCAGGGAGCATCCTGGGATCCGGGAATCACAGGGGCTTGATGGCAGGGACACTTGAGAAGTTGCAGTCCGATGGCTCAGGGGCCCAGCCTGGCCCGGGGTTCTGTTATATTTGGCTAGGAGAATGTCTGACAGATATTTATAAAAATGGGACGATTTCACATGGAAATCCAGACTTCTTGGCTTTAAGAAACAGGAGGTTCGGCTGCTCAGGCCCGAGCGTCGTCGGCTCAGTGTCTGGGCCGTGTTCCAGCTGTCCGCCCTGATGGTTGGGTTTGTGACCTTGCCATACAGATGGGTAGACTGAGGCAAGAGGGGGCATAGGGCTTGTCATGGGTCCCTGGGGGGTCTGGGCCTCAGTCTTGGACTCCTCAACCTGCTGGTGCTTGGGGGTTCTCACAGGTACCCGGGCGTGAGGCCCTGGGGAGCACAGCCTCAAAAGCTGTCATGATCAGCACCGAGACCCCGTGCCAGACGCCTGTGCTCAGACGCATCTTCCCTCTTCCCGCATTGTCTCTGAGCCCCGAGGGGTGTGGGTGGCATGATGCCGGCGAGTGCACGAACCCCAACTTCCACCTACGTGACCTCCTCCTCTTTGATTCCAGGGCCTGGCAGGCCCAGAGAGGGGAGGGGACCCACCAGCCTGCTGGCAGCTCCCCCCGAGGGGCTCTGCCATGTTCGGCCTCCTTTTGTTGTGGTGTCTGAGATGGGCTCTCTTCTAGTGGAACGTTCTGTCATTTATCAGCTTGGTCTTGAATATTCTGGAATGTTTCAGAATGTTCTCTCAGTCCTTTCAAGTCGCTTTCTCTATGCTGGACCTGGAGCATGGAGTGATTGGAGGGACGGATGGCCCTTCAGTGACAGCACAGGACAAGGCCATCAGCACTGTGTGTGGGTGACCTCCAGGTCAGCTCAGATGTCCCGTGATCCCCCCCGCCATTGCTCCTCTGTGCCTTCAGGGCCCTGGGTGTCATCTGTGGATCTCTGAGGGGACTGGAGAAGCAGGCAGGTGGGCCCCAGAGAGGAGGAGTGTGGGGTTTCCAGCAGGAGTGTGGGGTTTCCGGCCTGGGCGGGGAAGTAGGTGCTGCCCCATTGTTTGTCTTTTCCCTGAGTGGCCTCCCTGGGGACCTGCCCTCCTGCCAGGGCTGCTGGGAGAAGTCGTTCCCAGGAGAGTTTGGGAAGGTGGCCAGTCTCCAGCCTGGCTGGGCTCCAGCTGGGGCACCCTTTCTCCAAGACCTGCTGTGGTATGTGCTGTCCTGTGGGGGCTGCGGAGCTGGTGTCCCCAGAAGCTGCCGACTTCTAGCTGGGAAATCGGCTCCCCATTTCCTTTTAGGATCTAGCCTTGGCTTTGGGCGAGGTGGGAGGCTAAGCTTCCGGCGTGCTGTTCTTTGAGCGTTGGGGGGCTTGCAGGCCTGGTGAGGGGCTCCGGCAAGGAGGGAGTTTCTTTCCTTCTTTCTGGCCTTTCTCTTGAGTGGGTGGCTCAGCCTCTGTCTGGCTGGATTGGAGGCGAATGTGACAGAGTCCCAGACGTGAGGCTGAACCCCTGCTGGACATAGTGAACATCTCAGACGGAGAGATGGGGCGCTTGGGTTTACCTGTCTGCACACCCACCTTAAGAGGGACGGAGGGCACCACGGGTGTGTTTTGCAATCCGTTCGACTCGGGCCTCATGGATGCAGACCCAGCTCCACTCCATTGGCTTTCAAGGCTGTGGTTATTGGGACCAGAGGAGCAGGCCTTTCTTCCGACGTGCCTGTGGGGAGTTTTGAACCATCAGCCTTTTCAGTGAGTAGTTGCAAGCTGAACCATCCTCACTACCAGGGACAGTGAGCACAGAGAGCCGTTTGCAGCGCTGTGCTGGGGCCAGGCTGATGCCAGGGGTGGGACTGGCCAGCCAGAGAAACGACTGGGTCAGAGCCAAGGAACCCCTGAGAGGCTGAGACCAGAGGAAGCTGGTGGGGTGTGGAAGTTGGGAGGGGACATGAGGAGGAAGAGGCCCAGTGGGTGGGGTCCTGAGGTGGTCACAGAAGGGGCAGCCCACAGAGACCCTGCAGGATTGAGTGCAGCGGCCTGTGAGGTTTCTGAGGATGTAAATCCTATAGAGGCACCTGGCGTCTTTCTCCTTTGAAGCTGCTCATGGGTTTGAACAGCCAACTTTTCAGTTAGCATCCCAAGGCTTACCCCAGGATGCCACCAGGATTCTTTGTAGTGGTGATAAGAGTAATTCAGATAAAAGCCAAACTGTTTGCTGCCGAGGTGACGTGGTGGCCCCCTGGTGTCCGAGGAGAGCTGTGCTCCGTGAGGCGCTCGGTGACGGATGTTTTCAGAAGTACCTCGCTAGCCCTTTTGTCCAAGGTGCCTCTGGACGGACTTGTGCCTTTGACCTTTAGCTTACCAACTGAGTGTGCTAGCCATTGCGTGAGCTGGGGATGCAGGGCCATGCTGAGGACGAGACACGCAGAGCCACACATGGGGCCAAGCATGTGGCCAGGCTGGAGCTGGGCAGTGGGGCAGCCCTGTGGTCATCAGAGCCATGCTGGGAATGAGACACACAAAGCCACACACGGGGCCAAGCATGTTACAGACGGTCAGCTTGGCCAGGCCGGAGCTGGGCAGTTGGGCAGCCCTGCGGACATAGGCATACTCCGCCCACTAGCGTCTGGCCAGTGACAGTGCAGCACAGGACCCCATGGGGGGAGTCTGGGGGCGTCCCTGTGCCCTCACAGCCTGTGTGAGCAGTGGGGGCCACACCAGCACGCACCACCCTGGGTGGGCTGCCATCTCCCGAGGGTCTTCTATGGGCAGCTGGGCTCCGAGGCAGCAGGGGTCTGGGCAGGACCCAGGAGCTTTGCCCATGCTGAGTTCTGGTTCTGAACTCCTGCCCCAGTGCTCCCTTGATGTCTGCCAGGCCACCGGGCTCCAGAGCAGAACTCGGCACAGAGCTGGGGGAAGCCCTCTGGGACTTGGGGGCTGCTCCCCTTCTTCAGCCTCCACGCCCTGAGCGGGCCTCGTGCCGGTGTCCACGGGCAGTGGGCTGTGGAGGGAGGCGGGAAGGTGAGGCTCCTCCCTGACCAGTGATGAGTGGTTGCCCGGGACTGCGTCTCTGGGGGGAGAGAGTGAGGCAGCTCTGATTTAATAAATCCACAAATTATATTTAATGACAACAGAGGCAGTGCAGACGTGGCCTCTGATTCTGCTGAGTGATTTACGCAGCTGCCCCCAGAGACCCTGACGGCACGAGGCTGCCTCCGCCCACCCGAGCCGTGCATCTCTGGAACAGGACCCTTGAGACCCAGACCCTGCACCCTGGGGCCTCGAGTGGATGGACAGGTGGACATGGCCGGGAGTGGGCAGGAAGACAAGAGTGTGCGAGGTCCAGGTTCTCTGGGGAGTCTGTGGTCCAGCCCTTTCTGGGGGCCTGGCCCGGCCTAGCCACTCCCAGCCCAGCCTTTACAGGCCTTGGTATTGGGGGAGACTGGGTTCTTCCCATTAAGGACCCTCTGGTCCCTGATAACACTCGGGTTAGACATTGGGCTGCTGACCCAAAGGTCAGGAGTTCAGGCCCACCTGCTGCCCTGTGGTGGAAGCATCTCATGCTCGGCTGACAGAGTTAGCCGGGCAGTTGCTCAGCTCTGGGGTAGAAGGACACGGCAGTGCCCACAGCACGGTCGGTTCTGGCCTCTGGGGTCTGCAGGTCAGAATTGCCCTGACAGTAAAATTTGGTTTTTCTGTGTTTGAGAATCTTGGCCACACTGGATTCTTGAAGGTGTAATGGGGAGAAGGGGGCCTGGACTGGGCTCTTTGTATCCAGGGGCCCCAGCTCCCAGCAGTGCGATATAAACACTGGGCCTTCCTCCAGACCAGGGGAGCGAGGCCCCACCAGTCCAGCTGGGGCCCAGTGGATGGACAGCGGAGCCAGGGTTCAGCTCGGGTTCCTGTGGCTCAGCTCGTCCTTGCCTGAATGGACTCTGGGTGATGAGTGGTCAGCCTGAGGAGGTGGCGGGGTGGGGCTGCCAGGCAGGACGGCAGGCTCTTGCGTCCCTCTGTTGCTGGGCTCCAGACTCAGTAGCCAGCCTCCTTTCCAGCATCTTCCGTCTTCCTCCTGCCCCGGGCACATGCTCTGTCTAAAGCACGCTTCCCCGGTCTGCCTGGTTAAGGTGGACACACCTCAGAGCCCCCTTCCAGGGAACGGTGATCAGGTCACACTGCCCCAGCCTTAAGGGCTCAGAGCCCCCTCCCTGTGTCTGCATCCCCGTCTCTGTTTATATGTTCTCTGTGTGACTGTTTCCTGGATGCCAATTCCTGCCCCAGCCTGGGGTTGTACCCCAGTGCCTGCATCCAGGTGGGAAGGGAAGGCGGGAAGGGCTCAGATGGCCAGGGGGTCTGGCTGGTGTGCTGGACTCAGGAAGATGCCACTCCCCTGCCACAGCCTGGAGCTGTACCCAGTGGCTGCACCCCTGTGGGAAGGGAATGCAGGACAAGGCACAGATGGTCAGGGGACCTGGCCAGTGTGTTGGACTCAGGAGGGCCTCCAGGGGGCAGTGGCGTTACCCTGTATGTTTGGCCTGAGTTGGTGGTTTGTCTATAGGCTGAATCAGTGCCGCTTTCGCGAGCTAGCTAGTCCCTGGCCGGCCCTGGGCCTCAGTTTCCCCATTTGTGAACGAGAGGCCACTGTGTTTGGTGTCTAGTCATACAGCCTGACCCACCTGAATCTTGGTGAAGGGACCGACAGACCTCCCAAGCCCCCACCTCCCCAGGAATGGGAATAATAGGGTGAAGGCCTCCACTTCTGCTGTCTGGGTGGGGTTTGACCAGGAGCCTCATTTCTAGGGGTCCGAGGGTGACTGAGGGAGGGTAGAGAATGGGGCCCGGGCTTGGGCAGTGGTCTGCAGCATGCTCACGGTCAAAACCACAAAGGAAATTCTCACACCAGCAGAGAATGGGGGTCGTCCTCTTGTGCTGGGTGGATTGGAGGCTGGGGGCAGGGTCCCAGGTACAAGGGGGAGGCGGTGAGAACCAGGCTCAGGTCTGGGCGTGGGGACCTCGCTCCAGTACAAATTCTGCCCCCGTGACCCCTGTGGGACATTGCTGCCAGGCTCCAGGGGGACCCTGGGGAGCAAGGTGACAGCTTTCAGGTATGACAGGCTTCAGGTGTCAGCACGGTGAGGCCTGGCTCGGGGCCACCCCGTGAGCAGGGCCTCTGCCCATTCAGGGAACACAGGACCGTTGTTGCTCTGTCCCCACGGAACCCCCTCAGGACAAACCCATTTGGCTTTTTTATCCGGTTGTGTGAGGTGTTGGAGCTGGACACTCCGCTGCGTGAGAGCGAGGATACGGCCTCAGTTCTCCTCTTTGCATGACCAGCTTGGACTTTGGGTGGCCTCACTCACCCCTTGGATGGGTGTAACACAGCTGAGTGTCATGGTTTTATCATCGTGCATGTCAGAAACCCAGTTTAAATTATGTTGTGGCGTTGACCTGCTTGGGAGTCCAGATTTAGATCTGGCTTCAGGTGCAGCTGGATCCAGGAGTGTCAGATGACGCTGTCATGCCATCTGATAGGATTTCTCTGCAATGCACATATTTTTGTTTCTCCCCCCCACCCCTTCTTACTTCCAAACATAGGCAGGGCTTCTGTGAGCTCCACATGGGTGCCTTTCAAAATCATCCTGTCTGTAGGAGTGTCCCCAGTACCTAGCAGGTGCCAGGCATTTACATGACACTCAGCACGTGTTCATTGATTGAGGAAACGAGGTAGGGCCTGGTGGGAGCTCTGGAATAATAATAATAATGGAAAAAACCTACCCAAACCAAAACACCTGCTCTCATTTCAACTCCACTAAGTCCCACAGCAGAGGCTGTGGGCGTCAGGCTTCTGCGCCTCAGTTGTCCTCATCTGTTAAATGGGGCCATCCCGAGTCCCTGTGGACTGTGAGGACGGAGGGGAGAGTGTCTCGATGTGCTTGGTGCCTCATGGACGCTCGATCGTGGGCATCATCCAGGGCGCTGCAGTTGCTTTTGTCTCAGGCGTGGGCATTTGTTGGAGTCCTGGTCGCGTGGGGACGGCACAGGAAGGAGGAGGTGCCCTTCTTTGCTCTGGGAGTCTTTTGGTTTGTTGTTCATGGTGCTCAAAGCAGCAGGGTGTGAGGGAATGAGAGCGGTTGATTAAAGGGGTCAGCCGAGCTCTTGTGGGCAGTGGGGGCTGTGACTGCTCCCGTTCTGGGCTCTTCTAACAGGGGCTTCTCTGCAGGAAGGGGTGTTGAGGCCCAGGTGGGTCTGGGGGCAACAACCCACTTCGCTTCTTTGCTATCTTTATCTCTGGCTTGGTCTCTATCACCTCGTGATACACGGAGACCCCCAGCTTCTTGTCTACTGGGGGCTTTCCTGTTGGGCCAAATGTGTGTGTGGAGACAGACACCCCAGATTCCTCCCCGAACCCAGCTGCCACATTGACTGAGTCACGGAGACCCTCCACCCAAGGCCCTGAATCTTTGTGGCGCAGCCTGCGTCACCTTCCGCCTCTGGAGCTAGCAGGTGGGTTCATACCACTGACCTTTGAATTCGCAGCCCACCACTTAACCTGCAACGCCTCCAGAGGGCAGAGGGTGGTGGCCCTACTATGCCAGATATCACTGTCCAGATGGTCTCAGGCTCCCACTCCTTTGGGAAATGTCAGGACTCCAGGCGGGCTGAAGGCCTTTTCCAGGCCCCGCTTGTTCTGTGCCCTAGAGCTGGCCACCGTGTTGTCGCTGTCCATCTGAGTCTGTGTCTGCCATCACTCTGTGGCTCCCAGTGCGCAGGGGTCCGGCCTGGCTGGTCAATGTGTCTCCAGTACCGAGCCTGCCAGATGAGCCAGGGATTGCAGGGATGAATGACCATCTCCCGAGGCCTTCCGGGCTGGCCTTCCGGCTGCACTCTGTGTCCTGCCCAGTGCCCACCTGCCGGGATTCTAACCCACCTCCAGCCCCGGGAAGGGCCCACGTGCGTCTCCCTGTCTGCGTCTCTGCAGACCAGACGTGCTCCAGTGCCCCGCACATTAGCATGCCGAACCCACGCCTCTCGTGAGGTGTTAATTAAATTTCTTCGAAGTATATTGTCTGAAAAAAAAAGGATAATTAGAAAGATGTCTTTAAAAGTATTTATGTAACTGATATGGCACTGCGTTTGGTTTGCTGCATAATTAGATTTAAACGCGGCGACTCCTCCAGCAGCGTGCGTTTGGAGAGGGCTGCATGTGGAAGCGGCATTGTGTTATTTTTTAAGGGTTCTGAGCTCGGTGAATCACTGGGGAGGTGGTGGGTGGAGGGGTGCCCTGGCCTGGGAGCAGTGGGGCTGGTAAAGTGAAGTAACTATCCTACAAAAAACAGACCTCCCTGCCACTGAGTTTATTCTGGATTAAAGTGGCCCATCTTTTTCCCCCCGTGGAGAAGCTGGTGGATTTGAACAGCTGACCTTCTAGTTAGCAACTGTAATGCATTGTTCACAGGGGCCCTTGCTTAACAGTGCTGGCCTGAGGGTCCTCTTCTGTATCGGACAGGCTGCATTGACGCCTGAGGATGAGTGTGGTCCTTCCTGGAAGCCTCTTTGTAATTGTTCAGTAATTCCTGCTTCTGATGCCCCCGGAAAACCAGAGGCAGCTCCATGCGCTGTCCCCACGTCCCCAAGTCAGTTGAGCTCGATGTTAGCTGGAGGTCGTGTGGTGTTAGGCACCAGAGGTGGGATTTGAACTCTTGCTTTCAGAGTCCAGGACCAGATCCTCACACAACTCTTGTTCAGAAAACAATGAGCTGCTCTCAGTTTGTAAAACTGCTTCTCATTCTTGGTGCCTCAATGTCCCTCCATATTTGGGGGCACGTGGCCCCTTTCTCGGTCTCTCTCTCAGATGCGGGGTGCGTCTACACCGCACAGTGGTAGGGAGTGCGTTCTTTAGAATCGACTGGAGTCCATGCGTTTTCAGTCGGGGAGACTTAGTCCTTGAGGAGGATAAAACCGGTTCTTGGTGGAGTGAGCAAGAAATTGCACTCTTTTTATGTGCAAAGCACAGGCATACGTACAGGGAGGCTTTGAGGAAGTATCCTTGCCTCCCATGCGAGAGACCGCGGTTCGATTCCTGGCCAGTGCGTCTCACGGGCAGCCAGTCAGTCGTGGCTTCTTGTTGTGACATTGGAGGCTGTGCTGCCTGTACATGAAACTCCAGCAGGTGACCATGGTGGTCAGGCTTTGGAAGCTCTTCTAGTTGTGACGAGGGAGAAAGGCCTGGCATTCTGTTCCCTGAAGCCCACCAGTGAGCACACTGGGCATCTCGGTGAACAGCCCACAGCCATTCCGGGTGGCGTGGGACACCTTTGTTCTCTTGTGCGCAGGGGTCACTGCAGGTCAGTTCACAGGTGCTAGCATTTCATCAGAGGCGGCCAGTGGGATAAAAAGATCTGAACTTGCCCCGCTGCTCAGGGATGATGAGGCCTTCATCCGATGACAGGTCCCTCGTGTGACCAGAGCCGCGTGTCGATCCAAGGCCAAGCACCACTGCAGGCGTGGTCACTCATGACCCGCTTTAGCCCTCAGACGCCCCTGTGCCCATGCCACAGACGTGGAGACTGAGGCTCAGGGAAATGTGTTTGCTTTGTGAGGGGGTGTCAGAGGCAGGACTCCAGCTGGGTGGTTCTGACCTGGAGGCTGGGGGCTCAGGGGGTGTTGGGAGTGGGGGGTCAGAGGGCAGTGTTGGGGTGGGGGGACTATGTGTATCACCGTGAGGCCAGTGTGCGCCAGTGGGGATGTCAGTGTGTGAGGTCATTGTGTGTGTGGGGGGGATGTCAGTGTGTGTTAAGGTGAGAGGGCTGAGTGTGTCAGGGTGAAGAGTCAGTATATGTCAGTGCTGGGATCATTGTGTGTGGTCAGTATATGTCAGTGCTGGGGGTCAGTGTGTGTGAAGGTGGGGTTAGTATATATCAGTGATGGGGGTCAGTGTGTATGGTGTAGGGGTGGGGGGATAGGGTGTGTCAGAGTCACATCAGGGTGAGGGGGTGGAGCTGTGTCTGTTGGGGTGAGGAGCTGAGGTGTGCTGGTGTCGGGGTTTGGTACATGTCAGGGTGAGGTTGAGGTGTCAGGGTGGGTGCCACGTGTATTGGGTGGGAGGGGCTCTGTCTGTTGAGAGGGCAGTTGTGCATGTTGGGGGGTCAGTGTGTGTTAGGGTGGGGGCTTGCTGTGTGGGGCTGTGGAGCTCCGAGAGGGTTGTAGGGACCCAGGCGTGGGGACATGGTGAGAACAGCTTGTGACCCGGTGTCTTCTGTCTGGCAGGGTAGACCCGGTGCCACACGACGCCCCCAAGCCGCCGGGCTACACCCGCTTCGTGTGCGTGTCGGACACCCACTCGAGGACCGACCCCATCCAGATGCCGTATGGGGACGTCCTCATCCACGCAGGCGACTTCACGGAGCTCGGGCTGCCCAGCGAGGTCAAGAAGTTCAACGAGTGGCTCGGTAGGTCCCCTGCCCCCCGGCCTGGCCAGGCCACCAGCCCCTCTCCTGGCGTCTCTGTCCCCGCTCGGCTCGGCCTCCCAAGTCTGTTTGCCTTTAACCCCTGGGAAGCCCCTGGCCCCCCAGACTTCTCAGACCCTCTCAGGGGCTCCGCCTTGGGCTTCACAGGCTGGGGGGGGTCACACCAGGGCCTCTCCTAACGTAGCCCCTGTCTTGGTTGTGACTTCTGGTTTTGAAGTGAGACTTTTCTGCAGGTCTGTCCATGTCCACACACGTGTGTTCAGTGCCTGGGGAAGAATTCCTTCCTCAGTTGAGTTTGTTAATAATTCTGGACCGAATGAGTGAGTGAGGTGACGCTGGGTTCCAGCTGGTCCCTGGGGAGAGGTGGCCTCAGACCCCTGCGGTCACCAGCGATGCCCAGGTGCGCAGATGTGGGCCTGGTTGGCACAGACACCCCAGGTGTTTCTTTGGCTTTCTTACTTTTGGTAAAATGGGAACGAGAAACCCGGCGTTCCCAGCAGCAGCTGCTTGCTGTGGCTTTCAGACACCTCCCAGGAGCCGTCTCTGCCACCGCCTGGGGACAGATGGGTGGCCACGGGAGGGCCAGCCTGCTGCCTCGGCGGCGTGGGTGTGGGTGACCACCCCTTCGAGCAGGCTGCCAGATGGTCCCCTTCCCCAGGGTGCCCCGCTGCGTGGTTGGCACGCGGAGGGCCGCGTCGAGGCGGGGCGGCCTCGGTGAGGGACAGGCCCGGCTTTGCCAGAGGACACAAATATTTACAAACAGGGCCTTCCCCTCACTTGGCAGGCCTGATGCTTTAAATATTGATTTTGCAAACGGGAAATTCTAATGACAGCTCCATTTGGACGGAGCATGTGGAGATGGGAGAGGGTTTCTGCAGGCTGTTGAGGACGACCGAGCGTCTGGGGACCCTGTCCAAACTGGGAAGCCCTCGGGTCCACCCCAGAGACCCGTCTCTGAGGCTGGCTTCACACAATCAGCTTCTGTGGGTCTGTAAAGACCCAGGTAGATGTTCATGGTTTCCACAGCACGGCTCAGGCCTCACCTCCTGTGTGCCTGCCAGGGGGCCCCAGTCTTTGCACCATTGTTCGTAGGTGGGACAGCTGTCTGCAGTCTTGATTGTTAATGGTCCCCGAGGTCCCCAAGGGTGAGGATGTCTCGGGTGCACCCCTCATCCTGCCTGTGCTCCTTAAAATGTTGAGTGAACAGACAAGCGAGTGAATGAGTAAGTGAGCAAAACCTCCGGGTGTGAAATGCTCACAGGCCCTGGGCTGTGGGCTCACAGGTTTCCCTGTGCGCAGCTGAAGGCCCCTGGAGAAATGGACTGTTCCCTGGGCTCTGACCCAGGACCCGGGGGTCAGCCCTCCAGGAGGGAGTGGTTTCAGGCAAAGGAGATGTATAAGAAAGAATGACAAGTGGTCTGGACAAAGGTCTGTGGAGGACGTGCTGGTCTAGGGGAGGGACAGGCTCTACAGTGACCACGCTGTGATGGTGACTGGGGTCCAGGGAGGGGCTTTTAGCCTGGGGGAGGGCTGGTACATTGAGATGCTCATTTAGGGAAATCTCTACCTGCCTTTTGGAGTCTCTGGTGGAACCCGAAAGCTGGAGGTTTGGCTCTGCCTAGATGTGGCTCGAAAGAAAGTCTTGGTGGTGTTGATTCTTGATCAATCAGCCGTGGAAAACCCCGTGGGGCACACATGGGGTCACCAGGTGTTGGAACTGAGTTGACGCAGAGGCTGTAAGAACTGAGTGCTGTGGAGGTTGGGGACCTGGGCACCGGGGGTGGATCTTTCACTTGCCTGAGAGGGAAGCGAGTTTCCTTGGGTGCCCTCCTTTCACAAAAGGCGCCTTGCTCGAGGCCCCTGGCCGCCCTGAGTGTCTGCAGTATCTGAACTGGTCATTGGGGCAGGGAAGCCCCACTGGAGCGGGAAGGCCTATTGCCTTCCTGGCCTGGAGGAAGTGAGGTTTCTGGGATGTTTGTGTGTGAGCAACATCACGTGCATGGAGCTGGTGGTGGAAGTGCATTTGCTGCTGGCTTTTGAACACTTACCCACCACACACAGGGCAGGGGGCGCCCCTCTGTGGCCTTTTGGGCCCCAAGGAGTTGGGTGGGTGTGGCCTGAAGGCGCACTGGACAGCTGATGTAATTATTTGCTGTTGAGTGGGCTCGAGCTCTTGGCAGACAGCAGAACAAGAGAAAATGTTAGCCATCCTTGACCATCTTCATGGCCGCCAGTGGCCATGTGTTTCGTCCACTTTCTGTTTTGAGAGCCTTCAGGCTCGGTGCTTCTCATGTAGCCATGCACCAGCCAGTGCTCTGTTGTGTTCAGCAGAGGTGTGTTGCTAGGCGACTTGTAAGAAATGGAATGCCAGGCCTTTCTTCCTAGTCTGTCTTGTTGTTGTTAGATGGCATTGAATTGAGTGAGGCTCATAGCAACCCTGTGAACAACCGATCTGAAGCCTGCCCTGTCCTGTGCCGTCCTCACAATCTCTGACACACTGGAACCTATCGCCACAGTCCACCTGGTGAGGGTCTTCCTCTCTCCGTCCCCCCACCTTCCCAAGCAGGATCTCCCTCTCCAAGGAACAGCCTCTCCTAGCAACATGTCCAAAGGATGTGAGATGAAACTTCATCATCTTTGCCTCCAAGGAGCACTCTGGCTGCACCTTCTCCAAGACTGTTTGTTGTCTTGACCGTCCATGGGGAGTTCAGCACTCTTCTCCAACACCAAGCTCAAAGATATCAATTCTTCTTCTGTCGTCTTTAGTCATTGTCTTAAGCACAGCTAATTCCTATCCTAAATGGCTCCATAGGTATTTGAAATGTTAATGGCCTAGCTTCCAGTATCACAGTGACACTATAATATGATAGATTCACAATAACTAAGGATAGAAGGAGAATTGATGCCTTTGAGCGGTGGTGCTAGAGAAGAGTATTGAATATACCATGAACTGCTAAGAGTGAAAGCAGGCTACTCCTTGGAGGCAAGGATTCTGAAGCTTCATCTGACATACTTTGGTCATGTTGCAAGGAGGGGCCAGTCCTTGGAGAGGAACGTCATGCTTGGTAAGGGAACAGCGCAGGAGGGGAAGGCCTTCTATGAGGGGGATTGATTCAGTGACTGGGGTAATCGGGATGGGTGTGTCGGAGACAACGAGATTGACACAGGATAGAGCAGGTTATAGGGCTGTTGTACAGAGGGTCGCTATGAGTTGCAGGTGACTCAATGGCACATAACAACTGCAACAACAACAATATAGTTTTTACTTGTGTTGTTGTTGTGTGCTGTCCAGTGGAACCAACTTGTAGCTGACCCTCTCGTGGGTTTTCAGAGGCAGTAAATCACACAGGAGGGCATTGTCCATCCTTCTCCACTGGAGCAGATGGAGGATTTGAACCATGTGCCTTTGGGGTTACAGCACAGCTTCTTACCATTAGGCCACCAGAACTGGAGTAGTTACTGTTTATTTGGGTCCCTGGTGGCAGAGTGGGTAAGCTCTAGGTCTTAGCTGGAGGTTGGTGGTCTGCCCAGTGTTCTGTGGGAGAAAGATGACACAGTCTGTATCTGTATAATTTGCACCTTGGAAGCCCCTGGGACAGCTGTTCCGTCCTACAAGGCCGCCATATGTTGGACTTAGCAGGGATTTTATGTTTATTGATTGATATGTACTGGGCACTGTCCTACCCCTTCTGTGTGTAGTTGCTGCTGTTGTTGTGTACCGTCGAGTTGGAACTGACCCATAGCTGACCCTCGGTGGGTTTTCAGGGGGCGGTTAATTGAATGGGAGGAGATTGCTTACCCTTTTCCCACAGAGCAGCAGGTGGATTTGAACCATGTGCCTTTGGGATTGCAGTGCAGCTTCTTGCCACTAGGCTACAACAGCTCCCATGTGTGTAGTATTATCTCATTTATTCCTTCTGAGAGTGGGATGGGGCCAGGGTTATTGTCCCCATTATACAGAGGAGAAAACCGAGGGCCTGCCCAGGTCACGCAGCCCGTTGTGGCAGAGCTGGGGATGAGCTTGTGGCCTCCCGGCTCTTTCAGATCCTCTGATGTGAGAACCGGGGGTGAATACTGTATGAATAGAAAGAAGGTCTGGCCGGCGCTGCCTCCAGCAGGGTGACCTTGGCCACTGCATGGCCTCTCTGAGCCACCAGGGCCTCGTTTAAAGTGCAGAGGGTGGGCTCCGTGTACCTCCAGGGCTGTGAGGTTCTGGTGGGATCAGGAAACAGGTGTCTCCTACACTGGCGGGTGCTGTGGCCTCTGATTGTCTCCACGAGCTGACCTGAACCAGCTCAGGGCTCCCCTAAAGATGCACGTAGCGGGGCCACAGGAGGGGGGACGTTTGACCTGAGCCTTGAAGTTGAGTAGCTGGGAAGCAGGGAGACGTCAAGTGCCCGGGGCCTGGAGTGGTGCAGTTAATGCACTCAACTACTGACTGCGAGGTTGGAAGTTCAAATGCACTTAGAGGCAAGTTGGAAGAACGTGCTGGAGATCTGCTTGTGAGAAATCAGCCATTAAAAACCCATTGTTGCTGTTGTTGTTAGGTGCCATCCTGTCAAGGACGATTCGTAGCGACCCTGTGAATGACAGATTTGAGCCCTGTCCTGCCCTGTGCCGGCCCCACCATCTCCGACACACTCAAGCCCGCTGTTACAGTCACTGTGTCTCTCCACCAAGTTGAGGATCTTCTCTTTTGCCGACCGCCCACCTTCCCAAGCATGATTCCCCACGGAGCACAGTGGCACCCTGATCACTGGGTGCTGTTGCTGGGTCTTCAAAGCTTAGGTGAAAAGTGTGTGGGCTTTGTGAGGAACGCTGAATGGGAATGCCTCCCTGAGACCCTGCTGTGTGCAGGCAGCCAGCCCCAGGCACTGGGGAGCCCTGGGGAGCCCTGGGGAGCTCTGGGGAGCCCTGGGGAGCACTGGGGAGCCCTGGGGAGCCCTGGGGAGCACTGGGGAGCATTGGAGAGCTCTGGGGAG